TGCACAAACTACACAAAAACAAAATTGCACAAAGCATGTATACAACCCTATTCACAAATTTCATTTGGTAAAAATGTTTCACAAGCTAAAATCACATCTATAATCCAACAATTGCGTACTCACACATACTCTTCATAATTATCTCTTGTTAAATTAGTTTATTCTATCCATAGGGTCCCCATGGACACTCATAGATCCACAAGACTCAAGTAATTGCATGCAATGAAATATAACTACAAATCAATTATATCAATCAAAATACCAAAGAATCACATAGAGCACAAAAATACAAGTCATGATCAGAAATTGGGATTGCTCCGTCGTGCAACATACACATAGAAAAGGATGTTAGGGATCAATCTCACTATCCAACATATATCTCACACCTAGGATAAAACTACTCACTCGCCTCTTATCTCGATAATCGCTATATGCAAGACACAAATCTTTGGTTTGATTCTCGACAATCTTTGATTTTCCCAATTTTTCAGAGCGTAGAAACATATGAAGGAAAAAATGAAAAGTGTAAAGCATAAAACTAACACGACCCCTAAAAAATTCCTATCATTTGTTTAACCCATTAATTAGTCAAATAAATCATGATTACACTTCCTTTCTCTTAAAAATGTTTAAGTATAACATATAATTAATTTAAAACCATATTTTTTATTTAATGAAAGTGCTCCTAATTAAAATAACCCAATTAATCATTTAAAATTATTATTAATTATTTAAAAAAATCTGAAATATTACAAGTTAAGTGACTATCTTAAGTGTTATTTATAACAATTAATGATATCATATCAATGTTTGATTGCATATAATTTTTTTATATAAATTCTTAAAATAAATATTATATATTTATCTTAAAATTATAGGTAGGACTTAAAATAATGATTTTAAATTTAAATATATATATATATATATATATATATATATTATAGCAATTAAAACCAAAATTTCTTATTTCACAATGACGAAAACAATGCTTATAAGTTTTAGAAAAATAAAAAAGTTTTAAAAAAATTATGGCGACCAAAATCAATATTTCCTTATTTTATAAAAATTTAAAATATATTTAAATATATATTTTTTAATCCTAATATATAATTTGTAAATGCCCCTCTTAGTCAACTCGAGTTACGCATAGAGAAGTATTTGGAGTTCTAAGAGTTGATTAAAGAAGGTAGCAGATGGAGAGTGGAGCGAGCTGAGGAGATCTCAAGGTAATGGTTGCATTGCTACAAATGTGACTTATGGGCTCCAGGAATTAAAATAAATATAACAAATTCTCTAAAACACGTTCTTCTACATCATTCCAAACAAGATAAGCCACGTGTGTCAAAACCAAGTATGAACGACCTATTGGTTATTTTAAAATGTTCATGACTATTGTGTTGTCAAATACATAACTCTCTAAACCTTATAAATAATTTTATCTTTTAATTTTAAATACATGGTCAGTAGTTAGATTTATGAATCTGTGCATATAAAATGAATATTTATTAAAAACATTTTAGTATATCAAATGATTAGTGATTCATTTCTCTCTCTCTCTCTCTTGATATATCTTGATTTAAAAAAACTAAAATATGGGTCAAATATAATGAGACGCATACGTGTGAATCTATCAAACTTATATTTTGAGGTTTTGTGCTATGAAAGAAATTGGTGAGGATTTTGGTTAGGCCGGTGAGTCCACCACTTTATATGAGACAAGGCAGTGATATTATTGTTATTCATGAAGTGATTAGTAGTCAATATCATCGTCATTATCATTCTCACTACGCAATCCTTCACTAGAATATTCTTATTATTTATTATTCTTATTGTTAATTATTCAAAGGATGGGCAAGTCCCCAGAACATTCTTAATCCAAGGATGAGATTGTGAATCTAAAATGTCAAAACATTTTTTTTGTTAACAAAAATGTCATTTAAGTTGAAATAATACTATAAAGGCTCAAATTCAAGGAAGATTCAAATTGTGATATAATACTGTAACTCATATTCAAGATAGTGTTAGACAATGATTATATTTTTTGTTGAGTCAGTTCTGTAAAGTAAAAAAAAAAACTAAAATATAACTGCAAAGCGTCAAGATAGTGTTAGACAATGATTATATTTTTTGTTTCTCTAAATTTTCCAAATTCGATTTTAATCTCTTTTTTTTGTCTTAATTTATTTTTTATAATTTTTTAAATATATATATATCTTTAAAATGATTTAAATAACATTTTCATAAATAGTACAGAATATTTTCAGAAGTCTAAAACTACTAAAACTGAATTCTAAAAAAATCTAGAGAAATTAAAAACATATTTTCCTCGTGAAAAAAACATACATCTCACTTGAACTCAAAGTCCACGAACTCGTTTTCGGATTTTCCCACACTTTTGGGCATGTCCACACATATGATAGAAGAATTTTCGACTAGTTAATCGTGTCTCTAATCTAATAAGGTGTATACAAATGTTTTTAAAAATTTGTGAAATTTACGTTTAAAATTATTTTTGCACATTGAAAAAACACTTTATTTTCCTTAAAATCAATTATATCCACCAAAAATTTAATTTTGAAAATAAAAAATAATAAAACGTGTGTTTGTTATTGTTCAACTCCTAAAAATGTACATGTAATAAACACACAAGTATTGTCATTGTTGGGCTCAATCTTTGTTAGGCTTGGGCTCACCGGTCTCCCTTGCCTGCATTAATATTTAGGTTGATGATATATACACCTCCTTTCTTCTATTAGTACACCTCCTTTTAAAAAAATAATTAAAATTTTAAAAAAAAATTTAATTTTTTTTTATTTTATACCTACAACATTTTATTTAGTACCTTTTTCACATATTTTCCTTTTTCTTTTTTTTTAATTTTTACATGTACTCTCTTACTTTTCTTTCACCCCACCTATTTTGTTAATATGTGAAAATTGAAAGAGAATAAAAAGTGTATGAAAAAAAGAAAGTAACAAATTAAAAGTTGAAGATATAAAATTAGAAAAATTAAAAAAAAAATTACAATATTTTATAATTTTAAAAAAAAATAAAGGAAGTGTACTTGTAAAAAAATGGAGGTGTATATATCATGAGCCTAATATTTAATAATCATATAATCATTGTCAGTTAGTCTCACCCAGTTAACAATAATAAATTTTACCAAACTATGATATTAATTATACAAAGTGAATTAAAAAAGGTAAATTATCAAATGTAAAAGAACTACGAGGAATAAAAGATCTGATCACGTATATTATGAAAATTTAAAAAAAAAAAATAGTTAGCTTAGCTGATTCTCATTTAATTAAAGATGATTTTTATTTTGAACTTATTTTTACGGATTGATAAGAAGGTATTATGTCTCCTTATTATAGATGGCAAAGTAGGCTATGATTTGCATGCCAACAACTAAAAATTGGCTTGCCAGGTTTTCGCCTAACCAGCTAGTTTACCTTAATTTTATTTAGTATTTTAAATGTTTAGTTTAATTAAGTTACATTAAATTAAATTTATTATATGTATAATATGTGATTTATTATGTAACATATTTTTGTGAATTTGATTTATTTTATTATATATAATTTAAGATTTGTGAAAGAATTATTAATGTTAACTCTTACATATTAAATACAAATATTTATCTTACGTGAAAATTTTTTTAAATATTTTTTTAAAAAGTAAATTTTTATGATTTTTTTTAACCTTCTAACTAATAGGTGTTTATTCATCATAACTATTTATAAATTAAATTTTAACATTTAAAAAATTTACTATTAATAAAAAATATTGTGTTACAATATAAATTATTTATCACAAGTTTGAAATAATATATATATATATATTTTTTTTTAAAAGTATATATTTATACAAATTTTAAATATGATTTATATATCAAACATAATATTTATTTTCAAAGATAATTTATTATAAATTTAATTACGTATAATAAATATTTAATTTTTGTATTGCATAAATTACAATACTAATTATAATTATATAATACAAGAAATTCAAGGTTTACTGTGTAGTAAATCAAACAAAATTTATATTAATTTGATATTTATTTTAATATTTAGATATATTAACTTATGTGAATCTTTTAGTTATTAAGAAAAAATATGTTAAAATAAGTAACCCAAACAAATATGTAAATCTTTATTTATTTATTTTGGTGACTGGCTCATTCACTCACTTTTAGACAAAGTAAATCAAAATGTTCAACTCATTTTTTAATTGATAATCAACTAAATTCAACCAAAATTATTTTTAAATAGACCGACTCATTTTATCATCTCATACTTATTTATAAAATATATAATAATTCATGACATCATAAATCAACATTAGACATTCCCTCGTAAATAGATGTCTATATATAATAAAAATTGTTTAAAAACATTTAATTAAAATATATTTTTTAAAAGATTATTTTTTGTTTTGTCACGGAACATTAAATTTGTTTGGATTTAATTTTTGACACAGTTGTGATTTTTCCAATAAACGAGTTTTTTTTATAAAAAAAAAAGAAAAGAAACTCCTTAACGAGACTATTCAAAAGAAGAATTCAAAGACCGCTTACAATTCAACACACTTTTTGCCTGTAGAAATATAAATCAAGATTTATATTTAAATAACGCCAATTTTTTAACGAACAGAATTTTTTTTATAGAAAATTACAAAATGATTAAGCTTAAAAATAATTAAGTTTGTGAATTATTTTTAAGTTCTCATATTTAATTTAAACAAAATAAAAATTAATTTTTTTGTTGTATAAAAATTTAGATTAAAATAAAAAACTCCAGACAAAACACATATTAAATATTTATCATATATAACCAAAATTTATAATAAACTATATTTTAGAATGATTGAATATTTTAAAATATTATTTGTTTAACAAGTGGAATACGAAATCTGGGCCGGATCCAGTAAAAAATGGGCTTGAAAACCCTAGCCCAATCCCCGGAGGAAGAGAAGTATATAAAGAATGGTAATGTGCATGAGTACGCTGTACGCAGCAGAAGCGAAACCCTAGGCCGTGACGATGCAGATCTTCGTGAAAACCCTAACGGGTAAAACGATAACCTTGGAGGTGGAGTCTTCGGACACCATCGACAACGTCAAGGCCAAGATCCAGGACAAGGAGGGCATTCCGCCGGACCAGCAGCGCCTCATCTTCGCCGGAAAGCAGCTCGAGGACGGCCGCACCCTCGCCGACTACAACATCCAGAAGGAGTCCACTCTCCACCTCGTCCTCCGCCTCCGCGGCGGCGCCAAGAAGCGCAAGAAGAAGACCTACACCAAGCCCAAGAAGATCAAGCACAAGCATAAGAAGGTTAAGCTCGCTATTCTTCAGTTCTACAAGGTCGACGACTCTGGCAAGGTCCAGAGGCTCAGGAAGGAGTGCCCCAATGCCGAGTGCGGCGCCGGGACTTTCATGGCCAACCACTTCGACCGCCACTACTGCGGCAAGTGCGGTTTGACCTATGTCTACCAGAAGGCTGGTGCTTAATTTATGCCTTTTCATTTATTAGTATTTAAAGTTTTGGTTTATGTTTTGCTCGTACTTTAGTATTTCACTGTTTTGGTTTTAATTAAACCCGCATGAATACTGTTTTTGTGTTGGATTATTTTTTATTCGGTTTAATATATTGTTAGTTCGGTTTAAATTGAATTGTCTCTGGCTTCGCTTCGATTTGCTTTGTGTTTTTGGTGTTATGCTGTGGTGTGTTTGGTCGTTATATGGAGCGATTAAATTTGGATATTATCGAATTCGTTTTAGGGTTTCGGAAGCTGTGGGTTTTCGGATGTTGAAATGAAATGTGATCTAAAGATGGTCGATGGTGTGAGGTATTGTTGATTTTGGGAGTGTCGTGGTGGGTGATTTGATTGCTGTTTTCAGATCTTCACGAATGCGATGGTTAGATGAACTGTTGTGTCTGCTTGTTTGTGATGGTTGTTTTATTGATGATTTTGTGGTGGATTGTAGAGTACTTGTTTTGGAATAAACTAATTAGTGGATCATGATATGGGCTTTGGTGATTTGTTTGTTCTCTGAAATGAAAATTGTCACGAGTCTAAGTTGTGTTTTTTGGTTAACGGATTGCGTAACTATCTGTGATCACCCTAAAGTTGTTTAATGAATCGAGGTTTGGTGAATTTGGTGTTATGTTTTTGTCCATGGCTGGGCTTCGATTGTTGATATATTCTGATATTCATGATGTTGGTGTATGAATGTCTTGTGTCCTGAAGTTTGAGATAATTGATAATGTTGGTAGTTTATTGGTGAAAATCGAAATTAAGAATAACCGTTTTTTCTATCAGGCGAGTTTATTGAATATATGAGATGTGTTTGCCAAACATGTATGCTTTTCATTTTCCACACTTGTTTTTTCAATTCTGTACATGTAAAAAAAGCACTTGTTTATTATGCTAGTAGTTTACGAAGCAATCTTGCTTTGCTCTGTAAATGGTTGGTAATGACTTACTTGGCTTTAGTTAATTGGATTAGTTTTTGTGAATTATAATGTTGTTGCTCATGGTTGTTTATTGTTGCTTGTGTTTGACTGCTTCTTGTGACAGTATGACAGAGTTTAACTTGTTTTCGACAAGTTCTGTTTTTCTTTGTTTTATCTGTTGGATTCGCTAAGAGACGCCTCCTATTTATCTAACATGTTTAAGAAATCAACTCTTATAAAAAGCTACTACTTTATTATTCAACTATCTTATTTTTTAAAATTGTTTTTTTTTACTTTTTACACTTGCTCTTATTGCCGTAAATTGGGGCAATCGCTTTGTTTAAACAATATAAAACGTGGTTTTACTTGTTTAAATTTTAAAGTTTTGGTCATGATTTGAAACGATTTCACAAGCCAGACTGGTTGTTTCGCATATATTATCTATTTGATGCATGAAACAAGATGAAGCGAAATTTTAACTTACTGATATGTTTTAAAAGCTTTTTTATATTCTATGCCCAAGATAAAATATATTTATGATTCATAAATAATTTTAATGAAAAATCGCTTAATCTAAATCATTTTCATTTGAACGCATGTTTTAAAATGTTTATCAAATAGGCCTATTATTTGAATACGAATTTTGATTTCTTGAAAATATTGAAGTTTTTATTCGTGTACCAATGTTGGAATGAAGACATAATAGTGAGATGTCATTTAACTGGTTGCCAATGGTTATGGTTTATTGCAAAACTGCTCATTAACTTTTGTTTTACTTATTGCTCCGCTAATTAATTTGTTTTATCTAATCTTAGAAAAGTAATTTGGAAGGTGATAGTTTATCTCGAGAACGACCCGGTGATACTCAAATGAGCTCAAGTTAGAAAAATATTTATAGAACTAAATCCATTACATATTTGTTTGCAATCTCTGGGATTTGGTGATAAAATACCAGCAGCTCGTTACGTATGTTCCTCATTAAAATTACGAGCCCTCCCCCTTATTTAAACTCTTGAAGGTAAAATTATAAACATCATTATAAAATCGTCGATACTATTTATCAAGAAAGTGTACATATTCTCTCTATACGGAGGCAGAAAGATAATTGTACACACTGGTGGAGTCTTGTTTTTATATTTGACTTAAAAGTTAAAAAAAAAAATTGAGAGTATTAAATAATAAAAATGATAGAATGGGTAGTTATTAAAAGAGAATTGTAATTGTTAAAAAATATTATTGATTTTTTATTTTATTTAATAATAAATGAGTATGATGGTCTACAAATGTAATTACCAAAAGGGGTATCTTTTATAAATTAGTATAAATTACATTTTCTTGGGTTTTAATTTGATAAATCATTCTCAAAATATTGATTTTGGTTTTTTGTTTGTTTGAAGTACTACCTGTTATTAACAAGCACAATATGCGTTTCAAAATTTGCTTCCGCTTTATTTAGGCTGGACGTGTTATTTTTTTTCATCTAGGACTCGACGTGTTTGTTTAGTTCTACGGATACAGACCTGGTTCCAAAAATAACTGCACCATAAATTGTAAATCCAAAAATAAGTTTTTTTTTATCTCTTTTTAATTTCAGGTTTTATAATATTTTTTGTTAAATTATATAATTTTGACTCATCAAATCTTTTTAACCCATGAGTCTAATTTTGAAATTAAACAAATTTAATTTTTTTTTATTTTTTATTGCGATCATCTTTGTAATCTTTTTTATCTTTAAAAAAAAAAATTATCATTTTTTTTTCTCAATGTCTTCATGATTTGAGTCAATGAAGTTCTCTTGAACCTCTAGATATAAACTCATTGATCAAAATATTAAATTTGCTCAAATTAAAAATTCAAGATTCTCTACTTTCTAAATTTATTATATTATAATAATTTTTTTATTAATTGATAATTTATTTTAAAATATTAATATTTAATTTATAAATAATTATAATAAATAAAACATAATTACATAATAAGTTTAAAAATTCTTATAAATCTTCTCACTGAAAGAAAAAACTTTAAAAATATTATTTTACAAGATAATATTTCATGTTTAATATATTGATTTCTCACTTACTTTAAATTTTTTAAAAATGTTTTCGTATCCCAAATTATCATAAAATCTCAAATAACAGAAACCGTAAGTGAATGGTATTAGATCAAAGAAAATAGACGGAGGAGCCACATTTATTTGATTTTAAAAGTTGAGAGACTTAATTAACCCAAAAATAAAATTAGATAATTAAAATTGTATATAGTCCAAATTAAAGAGATTAAAAGTGTTTTTAAACTCTAAAAAAAATATCATGTCCTGTGTCATTTATGCAATATATAAAAGAAATAGGTTAAAATAGTATTTTAGTCCTTTATAATAATTGTTTGTTTCAATTTAGTCCTACTTTTATTTTTGGTCTCAATTTGATCCCTAATAAATTAATTGGTTGCAATGTCAGACTTCTGTCCAAATTATTTAAACGGAGTTAACTGTTGGCCACGTGGATGCGTAGATGCATAGGTGGATGCCACGTGGAGGTCAAATTTTTTGAAAATACTTGGAACCAGAACGGCCCGTTCTGAAATCAGAATGAGCCGTTCTGGGTGCACTCTTGGTGTGTTAATTTTGCATCAGAAACGGCCCGTTCTAGGTGCAAAATTAACATACTAAGAGTGCAACTAGAACGGGCCGTTCTGGTTTCAAAACGGGCCGTTCTGGTTCCAGACTACTAAACACAAACGGTCAATGATTATAGTTCATGGTTGTGAATCGTGGAAGGAAAAAGACCCAAGGTACAAAACATTTGAAACACTGAATTTGGTAATATTGTTAATGGAAATTGATAACTTCAATTGCTAAACAGTTGGGTTATACAGTGTATCATTAAGGACAATGCAGTGTATCACTAAAGACAATGATAACATATTTTATTTCATTGTTAGTCAAACTGGAGTGAACCACTTACTACCAAATTGACACTATACAGTAAAGAATGTAATGACATGATATTTTTCCTTGAAGTCATTAACGATGTATCCCAACAACAACCTGTTCTCGTAGAGGTAGAACCTGAAGTAAAGAAAGAGGATACACAGGACTAACATTTCACCACACAACCACATGCAGGGACAGATCTAAGTTAATCATAGTGGGGGCACTTGCTCCCACTAAAAACTTTTTCATTATTTTTTTTTATATAAGATATTAATAATTTTATAAAATATATATTATTAATTATATTTTAATTATGTTGTTATATCTAATATAATAAATA